TGCAACTCCCGCCTAGCACTTGACGTACTTCACGTCGGTAAAAAGGCACAGCTGTATTGATTGTGCATGTAAAGTGTGTATTTCCAGTGCGCACACAACTAACACGTAGCGAGCGCACGTACAATGCATACACACTCAGTCCGGTAACAAGAAAAGTTTATTGTCCTTTCGTATGAACGACACAACTTGTAAAAACGCGACATGATGCCTACAACAGTAAAAACGAAAGTTCGCGTGTGTTCTCAGTTGACACAATGATTAAGAACCGACGGAGCGTACAGCTGAGAGCTCCGTATGCAAGTGCCATCAATAGTGAAGCGAATATACGCGAAAAGTGCTACCAGGTACATCCGGCGGTGCACGCAATTCGCACCGAGTATACACTACAGCTGGACATCGCACATCTTTTCTAATTAAACACGCAAAAGAAGCAGCACTAGTGGATTGACTCGCTGCCGGCAGAGAACACCGCTTCTAAGGTCGCTGCGGCAGCTGGTCGCCGAAAATCGCAAAGTGTTCATCTGCTTCTCCGCTTGGAGGTAGTGCGGGTGTTTCCGATGCGGCGGCTTCACGAATATGACGTCATGACCTCTCCTATATTTTTCTTTCCTCCATGATGTCGGCACACCGCAAGGAACTAAAGCGCCTAGGGATGTTCGTGCGATTTGGTTCCTAGGTGCGTGGTCGCCAGAAAAGCACCTAGCGCGCGGCCACTCGTGTCAGTTCGCGCCATGATGCGCCATGGCGCTGCAGTCACCGGCTGGAATGGTGCTGAAATATACCGGCACGGCCACGCAAGACACTGGAAGGAAACGCTTTGTATTAATGTTATTTGATGGTGGTAGTGAACGTAGATTCATCACAGAAGAGTTCGCTAGAATACTGAAAGCCACCGGGTTAGAAGAAGAGCTATCTCTGGATTCCGAAATATTTTCGCCCCTCAGAAATCTTGTCAGACAGTTAGAGTGACGCTGCATTGCCAGTACAACTCAAACTCGATTGAAATTGAGGCTATAGAAGTCCCACAAGTAGGCAGTTACCTGTGTGCATTAACAGAGACAATTGTGCTTGTAAGGATGAAGGACGGGAACTTACGCCCGGCTGATGTTAGTATTACAGGTCTCACCTAAGCCTGAAATATGCGTGCTTATAGAATCTGACTATTACTGGCAACTACTCAGCGGCAACATTCATTGACTGGACGACTCCTTAACCGCCACTGAAACTATCATGCGATGGACACTACACGGTGATACCAGAAGCTTGCCGAAGCTCAAGCAGCCCGACACCGTAAGGACTTTCAACGTATGCTTAATGAAAGCCAACGTCTCCGAGACGGAGAACACCCTGGGAAGTGAATCATCTGGGACTTTTCCACGGTTATTTACATTCGAAAGATAACGAATACGTTCTGAAGAATTTCTTGAAGAAGCTGTTACAACCAATGGACGCAACGAGGTGGAACTTCTAGGAGTAACAATTATTACGAGCTCAAAGACAACCGAGATGTCGCTTTGAAAAGGTTTGAGTACATACAGAGAAAGCTACGTCGAGAGCCAGTGTTTCACAAGGAATATGAAACTGCGATAAGGAGCTACTACAAAAATGGCTTCGCTGAGAAGGTTTCAACAAGCAGCATGAGTGGGCATGTTACCTACTACAAGCCACATAGAGCAGTAGTAAGACGTGAGGAAATTAAAACAAAGGTACGGGTGGTATTCGACGCTCATCTCACGCTTCTTCAGGCTCTCCTTCTCACGACTTCTTGTGTACTGGGCCGAATTTGAACGTCAACATTCTTGACCTACTGCTGAAGTTTCACAGCTTCATAATTAGAATTTCCGCTGACGCTTAAAAAGAATTTCTTCAGGTATCACTGACCGAACACCGAGATGCATTTCGTTACTTTTGGTTTGAGATGGGGTCATTTAACCTTGAATAACTCCTCATGACAACGGTTCCTTTCGATGGCTGCAGCAGCCCTGTCTTCCTTGCGGTAACTCTGCGACCCTACTTCCGACTATTGGAAGGCAATTACTCTACGAGGCCAAACTACGAAACACAATTTCTACGTTCTTGATTTGGTCATCAGAGCACAAAGCATAGAAGGAGCACAAGCAATTGTGAACAACTGCTTCAGTATTTTCAAAGAAGCGGGCATGCATTTAGCAAAGTGGACGACCAACTATGGACAGTTACGAAACAATTACATCCGTTAAGACTTGAAGGTACAGTTTGACGTAGCAAAACAAAAAGAAGATTCTTGGACTTGTTTGGAATACCGATAAAGACGTTTTGAAGCCATCGTTAAACAAGATAATTGAATCATTATGTGAGCCAAAGGTTGCGAAGCGATGGTTTTTAGGCTTTGCCTCACTCATGTACGATTTTTTTAGATTCCTGGCGCCATTCGTTCTGCTGGTGAAGTTATTAGTACAAAAGCTTTGGCTACAGTAATGCACCTGAAATGCGCTTCTACTCAAGTCTGTTTTAAAGGAGTGGACTGCACGAACGAAAGGCCTGCCAATAGTCAGTCAGTTTGAAGTTCAGAGGCTTTTTGGTCAATTTCTTTCACACAATTTTCGTGTCACCATACATGCCTTTAGCGATGCAAGCCCAGCTGTGTACGGCGCCCTGCTCTACCTTTAGATACGAGACTTCAATGAAGCCATGAAAGTTCTAACTCTGATAGCCAAATCGAAAGTAGCACTGCTACAAAAGGTGACTGTCCCACAAATAGAGCTGATGAGAGCATTTGTTGCAGCTCGACTAATTGCAACTGTGAGATGTTCCCTAAACTTATCAGATTTTGAAACTGTTATGTGCACACACTCTATCATCATGTATCATAGGCTATGAAGTTCAACAAAGCGATGGAAATAGTTGGTAGCAAACTTAAAGTCGGAGATACTCCCCTTAATGAAAGTGGATATGTAGAGACACTACCCAGGTAATCAAAATCTTGCCGATTTGTTGTCTAGAGCAGCCACTGCTGAGCAACTCCAACAAAGCCCACTCTGGCAGAAAGCACTAAATTTTTCCACACTGAGACGACATTTGACGAGCCCTGCTACAGCGAGGATACAGTCAACATAGAAAAAAAAGCTATGTGTTTGAAAACAGCTGTATGACAAGAACCTACGATTGTAAACATTATTGACTAGAGGTCTTATAACCAACTTGTGTATGGATACAGCAGTTCGCTAAGAATTTCCGACACTCAGACACCAGAGAGAAAGGACCATAGCCGCAAACGAATTAGAAGATGCAGAATTTCATTAGATACGTCGAACGCAAAGCATTTGAACTGGATGTCCGGTGACTTAGCATTGCACTTCAGCGGTTCAGTTCCTATCCCGATGAATTAGGGCTTCTTTGCTTAGGAAGTCGACTTCAGTTCAGTAACCTCTGCGAAAGCTCCAAGAACCCTGTTCTGCTTCCTGCTTCAGGCACATTCAGAAAGTTGCTGTTAAAGAAAAAACATCAACAGCTTTTACACGCTGGACTCGGTTTACTCATGACGGGACTGAGAGAAAAGTTCTGAATACTGAGAGCTAGGCAGGTGGTGAAGAACATCAATCACGAATGCGCTGTCGGCCGCCGATTTTCCTGGAAGCCATACTCAGGACCCTTCGCACCTTTAACAGAAGACCAGTTCCAACCCTCTCCACCTTTCGAAGTATGGGTGTAGATTCTACCAGACCCCTTCTCCAAAAAGATAAGGCAGATGGGCAGATAAGGCAAAAAGACTTACATACTGATTCCTACATGTGCACTCGTCAGAGCTGTTCATTTGGAGCCTGTCACCAATCTTAGTTGTGGCAGCTTCCTACTAGCCTACAAATGATTTGTGTCTCGACGAGGCATTTGCAGGAATATGCACCTCGACAATGCCAAGAACTTTAGAAAGGCCTCAAGGAAGATTCAGTCACTTCATAAGTTGATGAAATCACCAGAAGTACAATCGTATTTTTCCAGTCATAGGATCATTTGGTAATTCGTCACTAAACAGGCTCCCTTGTGGAGAGTACTTTGGGAACGATTAATTAGATCTGTAAAGTCTGAATTGAAGAACACACTGGCAAATCATTTCTTTCATTGTAAAGAACTTTCGATCATTCTTGTTGAAGTTGAATCAATGATAAATTCACGACCGAATACTTTGACTTACAAAATAATGCGAACCAACCCCACTTATGCCAAGCCATTTCCTCACAGAAAAACGATTGACTATGCTTCCTGCAAATTGTGTGAGCACACCATCAGAAGGAACTGAGTCGTCACGTGACATTATTCAACAAAGATAGAGGCAGAGAGAGCAAGTGTTGCATAATCTTTGGAACCTCCAAGAGCTTCGTTTCAAGAGCCTTGTTCAGCTCCTGCGAATGAAAAAACAAGCACAGAATCACTTAAAAAAGGACACATCGTACTCGTAAAAAAAAATGGGCACGCCGAGAAAATTGTGGAATATGGGACAAGTTACAGAACTCTTTCAGGGCAAGGACGGCAAAGTTCAGTCAAGCAAGGTGCGCATGTCTGGTGGAATCACACTGAAGACTGGTGTATCCTGGTGTATACAACTGGTGTATCCTCTCGAATATGCCGGACAAGCTTGCATACCTCGTAAAAAATCATCCTAAAAGAAAAAAAATCCATGCAAGTTGATCGGCGGGGGCTGTTAAATATTATTCTGGAAAGACGGTGAAGACGAGGAAGAGGACGAGAACGGGCCCGGAGTGCGCACCCGCATTCTTTTTTTTTTTGTTTTTACATTTTAACCCAGCGTGTAATGAAGAAGACGTAATCTACTTTGGCTCCGCTTCCTGGTTTTAATCAACAAAGTATGAAATGAAATCCCACAGATTAACACGACACTATAACACCTAAAAATATCAATTGACGCTAACTATTCCCGATTAATTTTGAATGAGAAGCATCTGCTGTAACCTGGGTCAGTGTCATTACTCACTTATTTCTTGGCGGCAATGGCCCTCACGCAGCTCTGGACCCAGCCGGACCACTGTTTGACAACACAAGCGTCTGCCTCTCCGTGAGTGACGCCCAATATGTTGACGCAATTCACACAAGCGGTGGCAAGCACCTCGTAGTCGGTGAACTGGGCATCGACAGGCCAGTCGGCCACGTCGACTTCTACCCCAACGGTGGCAAGAAGCAACCAGGGTGCAAGCCGATTGGTGAGTCCTTGTGTATATGTACCTATCTAGCTCCTCCTGCTATAGTGTCTTCAAATTGCACTTTTAAATGCCAATAATTTCTTAGAGAGCGTAGGTGACTATCTATCTATCTATCTATCTATCTATCTATCTATCTATCTATCTATCTATCTATCTATCTATCTATCTATCTATCTATCTATCTATCTATCTATATAGCCGCCGAAGACTTTTAGCTCGCTCGGCCATTTCGATAATGGTATCAATACGTAAATTGGTACGACATAACACGACTATTTGACAAACAAAAGTGACTAGTCATAACATTAAAATCATGGCATGTGTGTCATGAATGTCATGATTACATTTCGTGGTTTTGCAGCTTTTGTGGTGCTTTATTTCACATGACATATTGCAAAACCGGTATGGTATGACATGACTGCATGGGGAACATAAGTGAAAGACCATAACGTGGAAATTATGATATGCATGTCATGTAGGTCATTAGTCACGACTACACGTCATGCTCATGATGCGCTCGTGGACATTTCGCTAATTTCGCTAGCTTCACGTATACCAATATGGGTATTACGTGACGTGAATAGACGACGGTAATGACACGTTCAAAAATGATAATCATGACCTGGGTGCCATGTGAAGCACGTATACATGTTACGGTCATAGCGCGCTCGCGGCCGAGTCGCCTTCTCCACATATACAAAATTTGGTATCACGTAACGTCAATAGACGACGAAGATAAATGAAACACTCAAACATGACAATCATGATATGCGTGTCATGTAAAACATGACTACATGCTACTCTCAGAGCGCGCTCACGACCATTTTGCTAGCTCTATGTACACTAGATCTGGTATCACGTGACGTTAATAGACGACAAAGGTAAATGGCACGTTCAAACATAATAGTAATGACATGGAAGTCATGTACGGCATAATTTAATTACACCTCACAACGTTGTGCTGATTTTAAAGTGACATATCAACATTTCTTATTCGTGTTTAGTATATCATCGATTCCCGCTGTAAGTGGGATCTGTCAAATTTAGTTATCTCTTGCTTCAATGGGAAAAACTAAATAGTATGTATCGAGATGAAAGACTTGACTTTAAGCAATACTGTACACTTGGACAAAAAATGGATCTTAAAAAAGTGGTGTTAAATGGCACTTGATTGGCTGGCATGCTGCCAGGCCTTGGAGGATAATTATTCCGTTGAGCCAGTGATCAAGCTCGCAACTGCGTCAATACGAAGCTTTCATAAGCTTACTCACCATTCATTTTATATGAAACACAACAAAGTAGCAAAGAACATTGTCTCCACTATGTCCATCATTTACCTTGTCGTACAATAATTTATTTTTATTTTGTTTAACAATTCAGCAAACACCACAAAAGTTGTTTAACAGCATTGCACCAAATTCTCCTGGAGCAGCCCCTATCAGCAGAGATAAGAATGTGCGGGGTAAAATTAATTCGACAGTTTCGTGGAGTACAACCGACTCACTATACGCTTTTGTGCTCAATGTATGTTGGCCACCATAAAAATTTATCCCGAATATCTTGACTCCGCTGTCCTGACAATGAACGTAGACCACAAACTCGTTAGGCTATATAGCAAAACTTGTGGCTGGGCTACAGCTGTAACGACTTCAGAGCACATGTCATGTGCACACACTTGGTAATTGATGATGATTGATATGTGGGATTTAACGTCCCGAAAGAGAGCACACATACTTCCATAAACGCACGTATGCAATGACACATTCATATTCGGATGTACAATTTCAGGATTCTGCGGCATTTCCGCTTTAAAGGCGGATGCATACATGCCTGTTCTAATCTACGCGCACTCCGGACTGATGTCATGAGCCGGGCAGCTGGTAACCACACCTTCGGAGAACATTGCCGAGTGCATGAGTACGACTTTTTTTTGTTTGCGGAGGCAATCAGCGGGTATTTTTCGGGCCTCTTGGAAATTCTTGAGGTAATTGTACCTGACTATGGACGCTTTTATGAAAAATAGAGGGTGTCTTTGTTAACGTGTGAGCGTTGTGAACGTACGCCTCCTAACCATTTGAAACTGTTGTTATGGCCAAGTGATACGCTCTTGCATTGTATGGCGCATCCTGCCAATCGTAAAAGATGTTGCGCAAAATCCGACAACTGTTGTGTGAGAACTGGAATGCTCAAGTTCTCTTGTCTGGGCTATGTTTGCCTTGTTTCGCAGATTTGCCATGCGACCACTTCCGAGCTACTGCTTACTTCCTCGAGTCCCTCCGCAACAAGCGCTGTCGCTTCCTGTCCAAGTTCTGTGGCGGAGGCTTCCCCGCACTGGAGCAGAATAAGTGTCAGTCAAGTGGCAAGGGGGGCCTCATGGGTTATTTTAGCCACATGGCACCAGGAAGAGGCGTCCAGCTCCTCACCACCAACGACAAGCCCCAATACTGCAAGGCATAAAACGATCACTCCCAGTTGTACTTTCGCCTAAACGGAGCGCCAGTGACTGAGGAACTGAGGTCTTTTCGATCTGGCCTCGCTGTGGTGTTACGAGCAATAGACGACATTGTTCATTCTGTGCAGAGAGCCTTGTTGCAGCATCTTGAACTGAAGAAAGCCAAAGCAATACATACCTTATTCCTCGAGTGCAGCGAGCGTTGTGAACTGAGTGGGAAAATTAGCTTGCAAGAGAGGCTTCAGCTCTACAGCTGCGGTAGTGAGTAACTCCGCTAAAAGAACTCCCCGAAGGTGCTCTGCCATGGCGAGTAAAGTGAAAACTATCTTCGCTATGCGTGCCTGCACCACACCCTGCGAATGAGCATCTATCTGTTACTCATATTGTGTACAAAATAATAAGTGAAGGAAATTCAAAAATAAAAGTAAATTATATACTGGCGTGAATGTTCGCTCGTTACTACCTGGCTGTGTATATGAAATAATGACCCCCACCAGTATGGCGAACTGGATTGAAGGAATGACATATGAGCGAATCAGTTCGTACTGAATTAAGCTATAGCAGGGCAACAAACTTGGGTAACGAACGTCCGCTGTGTAGAATCACCGTGGATGTTGATTGTGGGGAGACCCGCACTCTCCACCAAAATGTTACGGGCAGAAGGCGTGTGAAAAATATGTTTACTTTAGATAAACAGGCACGCATACAATATAGAGCCCCGGCTGCACGAGCTCACACTAATTCTATATATATATATATATATATATATATATATATATATATATATATATAGTACGCTTTAGGCGGAAACGTCGAAATAAACCACGTTGTGACCGCTCACGGAGGATGAGGGTCAGAAGCGGCCGACTGGTTAGAGTTCCTCCTGATCCTCTTCATTCTTTCTGGCGCTCGGCGACAAGTGCGTTCACCGTATATGCTTCTTTTTCTTCGTGCATGTGCGCAACGATCCTCTCCGCGCAGACGAAGGCCGCCGGACGAGTCAGTCGAGTTGTCGTAGCGTGTACAGTTTCAGGCGGGCAACATGAACCACTTGAGTTTTGGCAGCTCGTCGACCACTCGCCGTGAGACGAGCTATTACATAGTTGACGTCTGTAAGTCTGTCGACAATGACAAAAGGTCCATCGTAAGTGGCGAAAAACTTTTGGCATAACCCGCACTTGCGCATCGGTGTCCACAACCACACCAGATCATCACGGCGATAAATCACTGGTCGATGGTGAATGTCATAGCGTGCCTTCGCCTTGTCTTGCAATGCCAATGTGCGTAGTCGAGCTATGCGACGCGCCTCTTCGGCGAGGCAGAGAGTCTCGGTGACAGTGACATTGTCGTGATCACAGAAAGGTAATATTGTGTCGATTGTGTGCTGGGGCGAACGTGCATAAAGTAAAAAAAGAAAGGGCTATAGCCAGTAATCTCATGCTTCGCAGTATTGAACGCGTAAGTAATGAACGGGAATACGTCATCCCAGTTCTTATGGTCGCATGAGACATACATAGACAACATGTTGATAATAGTGTGGTTGGTACGCTTCGTCAGCCCATTAGTTTGGGGGTGGTATGGTGTCGAGTGACGCAGGCGGGATTCACATAAACGGAGTAGCTCCTCCACAACATCCGCTGTGAATTGCCGTCCATGATCGCTCATAATCAGGCGAGGTGGGCCATGTCGGAGGATGACAAAACTGTAACAAAAACGACGAGACTTCACTGGCAGTTGTGGAGAGGACGGCCACCGTCTCGCAGTAGCCTGTGTGGTAGTCGATGCAAACAATTATCCATCGGTTGCCCTTAGCCGATTTTGGAAAGGGGCCAAGAAAGTCAATCCCCACTTGTTCGAAAGGTGCGCTTGGAGTAGGCATCGGCTGTAGAAGACCAGCTGGACCCGTTGATGGACGTTTGTGACGCTGACATTGCATGCAGCTTGCCACATAACTCTCAACGGACTTCTGCATACCATGCCAATAAAAGCGCTCTTTAGTCCAGTGAAGCGTCCGCGCCAAACCTAAATGTCCAGATGTAGGGTTGTCGTGGATGACACTCATATTAGCTGTTCGCAGGCTTTTCAGGACCACTAGAAGGAAACGCGCGCCATGGCTGGAGAGGTTCCTTTTTAACAACAGTCCATCATGCATACAGAAACGGCGTACAATAGTCGAAGCGGATGCAGCGGCAAATAGTGGTGCTAGTTTAGCGTCCTTTCACTGTTCTTCTCTCAAACTGGGGTAGTTCGGGAACGTAGGTGACAAAGAAGCTACAAGCTGGTCAAAGTCATCGAATTCACAGTTCGTTGTGCTAAGTCGCATACGTGAAAGACAGTCCCCATCAGCATGTCGACGACCACTCTTGTAAGTGACGGTAAAACGGTATTCTTGTAGCCGCAGTGCCCAGCGCGCAAGGCGGCCACAAGGGTCACGAAGGTTGACAAGCCAACACAACGAGTGGGGGTCAGTTACGACAGTGAATAGGCGTCCGTACAGGTAAGACCTAAACCGTTGAATTGCAAATAATACCGCCAGGCATTCTTGTTCCGTAACAGTGTAGTTTTGTTCCGGCCTGCTTAGGAAGTGACTTGCGTATGCGATGACGTGTTCGCGGTCGCCGTAACGTTTTAGTAGGGCGGCTGCAATACTTATGCCGCTAGCATCCGTATGAAGCTCTGTCGGAGCAGAAGAACTGAAGTGCTGAAGGACGGGTCGTGACGTCAGCAAAAACTTCAATTGACGAAATGAAGAATCGCACTCCGGAGTCCACTCAGAGGAATTGTCCTTTTGTAAGATGCATGTGAGAGGATACGCAACGTCGGCAAACTTCGGAATAAAGCGGCGGAAGTACGAACAAAGCCCCAGGAAACTACGGAGCTCCTTTACGGAACGCGGCACATTGAACGCCTCGACTGCTGCTGTCTTCTGGGGGTCAGGGCGGATGCCATCTTTGTCAATGAAATGCCCGAGCAGAAGCGTTTGGCGGTCTCCTACGTGGCATTTCTTCGAGTTAAAAATTAGGCTAGCGTTTCGGATGCAGTTCGAAACAGTATCCAGACGAGAACTCTGTTCACTGAGCGTGCGGCCAAAGATGACGCCGTCATGGAGGTAGCACATGCAGATGTTCCACTTCAAGCCACGCATAATGGTGGCCATAAACCTCTCGAACGTTGCCGGTGCATTGCACAGTCCAAATGGCCTCGCGTTGAATTCAAAGAGCCCATCAGGTGTTACAAAGGCAGTGTTTTCTTTGTCCTCTGGGTGCATCGGAATTTGCCAATAACCGGATCGTAAGGCTACGGAGGAAAAATAAGAGGCCGAATGTAAGCAGTCTATTGCGTCCTCTATACGGGGCAGCGGGTATACGTCCTTTTTAGTCACGGCATTCAGTCGGCGATAGTCGACACAAAATCTCCAAGATCCATCTTTCTTCTTAACAAGGATTACCGGTGCTGCCCATGGACTGGCTGACTCTTGTACCACTCCCTTTTGCATCATTTCCTCCACTTGGTTGTTGATAATTTGTCTTTCTGACGGGGAAACACAATATGGTTTTTGGCGAATCGGACTTGCCGCGCTAGTGTTGATGGTATGGCGCGTTCGAGACAGGGGGATACGGATTACTTTGCCCTTCTGCGCAAAGTCAAATACCGAAACGTGCTTCAACAGCACATTCATTAAAGTTCGGCGCTCACTTGAGCTAAGCGATTTATTTATCGTTGCCTTAAGCCACTCGTCCAAATTGTGACAACCAGTTCCATCACGTTCTTCCGGCACGTCTGTGAGCACGACCACTGATAACGTCGCGTGTTCTTTGCTGACCGAAGCTAATTTCAAACCATTGGGTAGTGTCACGGGCTCAGAGGAACAGTTTACAGTCCATAGGCCAGTTCTTCCGCCATCTATCGACACCACACAATGGGGAAACAATACATTCTTTTTCACGCAGTTTATGTGCATTGGTTCTACGCTCACATCGAAGCTGTGAGAATCTATGCCGCGGCAAACAACAGGAACACGTACGGTATGTGTATATATATATATATATACGCCCAATGTTACTACACGTCCTAAACAGCACAGCAATGCAGAGAGGTGCGTGCATCACGCTCGAAACAAACAAGAAAGTGGGCTAGCTGGTTTCTCGCTCTCCTAGAATGCTTAGCCCAAATACGCCATATCAGCGATTGAAAGCTGAATTCCGCATTCGCTATCATTTAATGCATAACCTTCTTACCGATTCATTGTGCTTAGAAGGCAAAATATATGGGCGCTTACTTTAGTTCAGATGTGTTATGCTTCCTAACCATTTGGTTACTTTCACATCCGTCTTGCGCTCAAACGAAGCCAATTTTATACATCTTAGCTTTGAATGGCTATTGCACACGCAGTCTACAATAGCGGATTCTATTCCAAGTATTGCTTGTTTTTGTATCTGGTGTGTTCTTCCTTGATATCGATAATTCTACTTATAGAAAGTTTTAAACGTACGGTCAGTCGTGTTTTGAATGTCTTTAACTAAATTGTACATGAATTCGCTTGTTGTCACGTCATGTTCTTTAATGAATGAAATATTGCGATTGGATTAAGCTCCTTTTGGTTAAAAGGATTTCACATGGTTTGATGTTCGCTTTGGTCTTTTCCACGATGTTCACTTATTTCGACGCGTATTTCGCGACAGTATCCGTTCGTTTGCTATGTGCCCAAGTATATAATTACCTTTATGCTTGCAATTACTGTGTTTATGTCTGTGCTAACAATAAATACGTTAGGACGATACTAAAAGAAACAGGCACCATTATTTCCACGGCTGTGAATGTCCACAACACGGAGATACACAACATGCTTAAAAGAATATTGATACAAATATTTGTGCTTTTTTTATTTTCATTACAATACATAGATGTCGCTCTAGTATTTATTTTTCTATTAAACCTAAGCACTGCGGTGTGCAGTTAGTAAGTTACTCCATTACAATATAGTTTGGGCAGCTGAATGCATACGTACAATACATGAGACAAGCGTTCATCAGCACTCCAGCCTATGGCCTTCCTCCTCTTTGCATTTTGCCACTTATTTTTGCTGCAAAATCAAAAATAGTTCTGCCTTCATGAATGAAACTGATATCACACTTGGTGTGCCATCTTCAACAAGCCACGCAAACAGCCGCTTCAGTGAATTCTTTGTGGCGCTCTCAATAGCACGAGCTTTGTACTGGTATCATAAAATCGCCAGCTTGCAGCTACTTTAAAAAGTAAAAAAAATGCGGAGACAAGATTTTCGCATCGGTGTATTCTTTTGAAGCAATGGAATCTTATCAACACATGTGATTTTAGCGTGTAGATTTCGTATAAAGATACCATTGGCTTAGATGAATAAATCTTAAGGAATGACATACATCTCGCTGTGGCGGTCAATCGGTTTGATAAATGTGGGTTTG